CTCCTCCTCCTCCTGCTCCTCCTCCTCCTGCTCCTCCTCCTCCTCCTCCTGCTCCTCCTGCTCCTCCTTCTCCTCCTCCCTTCTCCTCCTCCCTCCTCCTCGTCCTCCTTTCTCTTGTTTTCCCTTAGCCACTCCCATCTCCCTCCTGTCCCAGGTCCACATCCCCCAGGTCTCGGTGGTAGAATCAGAGCCCTCCCCCAGGTCCCCAGACAGACACAAAGGCTTCCTTTCCACCCACCACACTGCAGGGAGCAGCTGCCCAGTGCCTCAGAGGAGGCAGAGGGGAGGCGCTGGGACACACCTCTTCTGGCCTTTTGCAAAGAATGTGTGTTGTTCAGGGCACTAAGCTGCACTACAGGCACAATCTCATTTCAATCTTTACAGAACCTCCATGAGGCAGTGAAAAATCTTAATCTCCACTTCACAGAAAAATAAGCAGAATAGAGAGATGCTGGAATTCATAGAGCTAGTTAGTGTCAGAGTCAGAATGCAAAGTCAGAATGACGTCAAAACCCATCTGCTGTGGTGCCCGGGTTCTAGGAGGCTCTGGCCCCAGGGGAGGGAGTGACAGGAATGGATGTCCTACCAGGAGGACTTGTATCCTTTGATTTTCTCTTGACTGCATTTCTTGAATCTTGTCTCTCTCTTTTCTTAGACACTCAAGACACTTCTGTATCTGTTCCTGGAGAGAAGGAGCGTAAAATATTTAAGGTGGAAACTGATTTTCTCTGGGCTATCATCTCATCTAAGCCTCTGCCTCCAAGAGGGCAGGACCCGGGAAGGAGTCCCTCCTTCAGCTGACAATGCCTGGGCCTTAATTGTCCTTCACAGCCACTCTCTTTGGGTCATTTTCCCCTGGCTTTTGTCCTCCAAGAATTTTGATCAGGGCTTTGCCCTTCATCCTGTGTCAGCACAGGCTGTGACTTGGCGTTTCCACCTGAGCCTCTCTTCAGGTGACACACCCTGATTTCTTTGCCTTTGGTAAGTGGAATCTGGGACCTGTCCTGAGCTTGATATGCCCTTCTTTGAAACTGTTCCAGCTTTCTTACGTGACTCAAAGGGAGCCCACCCAAACAACGCTCTCTTGTGAAGGGTACCAAGTTTCTGTGTACAATTCTGAAGGGGAGAAGAAACTTGGATAATGCGGGATTAGGCAGTGAGCTGTTTTAAAATTGCCTGCTCTAGAATAGAGTTAGAAATAGGCACACACACAAATGTTCACGTAGGTAAGTGTGGAAACACACAGAACTCTCATCACCAAGCACTAAGGAACACATAGGCCCACTTACACTAAAAACACAGCACAGGGACAACTAACGCCAGCACACGCCTCTCTAACAGCAGATACAATTACACACCGCAGGTATCTACTTAACCTGCATACCCACAAACACCAACTTACGAACACAAGCCCTCAAATGGTTACATTTACACACTCGGGTAGTTAGATCTCCCCAAACACAGAGACACTCCACACCTTCCTGCCACATGCCTCAGGGCGCACACCCATGCCTGGCACCACTCACAGTGCGTTCGCTCTTCCACGCAACACGCTTCACTGAGCACCTCTCCTGTCTTGGCCACTCGAGAACCACACAGACCATACTTCAAACACGCACACGCTCGCCCCTCCTTGCTCTGTTGCCTGACTGAGGACAGAAGTCAGGAGATAGAGTTTGGCTCCACAGTGGCCCAAATTATCCACAGCTCTGCTCTGACTCTCTTAGCCCAGACCCACCCCGGGCAGGCCCCAGTGTGCCCTCTCCTACCCTGTAGGGCCCTGCTGCCTCCTCCAGGAAGCGCACAGTGTGGGTGCGATGCTCTCTGGCCTCCCGGCACACCACGCACATCTGCACCTCGTCTTCCTCGCAGAAGAAGTAGACCTTCTCCCCGTGCTCCTGGCAGACGTCCGCCTCTGCGTCCGACCTGAGGCGCTGGATGTTCTCCACCACACTGGCCAGCTGCCAGTTGGGCCGGAAGCTCCCCAGGCAGAAAGGCTCCTTGCAGAGGGGGCAGGTGGGGGGCCCCTCGGGGGCCGGGCCCAGGGTCTCGCAGTAACGGGTGAGGCAGCTGCGGCAGAAGTTGTGGCCACAGTCGATGGTGACCGGCTCCCTCAGGGAGCCTTGGCAGATGGGGCAGTTGACCTCCTCTTCCAGGCTGGTCACCGAGGTGGCCGAGGCCATGGTGCTGTGGCACTGGGGCCTCCTTGAGGTCACCTCTCTGCTGGGCTGAGAGGAAGGGTTGGGAGAGCAGGAGGGACACACATACTCACACACGCACACAGCCAGAAAGAGGCATGTCTTAGATGCGCACTGACACGGGCATGGTCACGCTGGCGCACACATACACACACACGCACACACGGGCAAGGGCCCACTGCCTCTCGGAGGCAGGGCTCTGCCGTCCTCCTCCTGAGTGGAGGCAGGGGAGGGGGAAGGGGTCACAGCATTCCAGAGAGGGCCTGGGCTCCCTCTGGGCCGTGCCACGGCCTGGGACTGGCAGTTCCTTCCATCCACGTCCACACAGTCACAGCAGAAGGAAAGTGGCAGGACCTCAGCGGGCACCGTGCAAAGAGAGCGCGCTCCTGTGGGGCAGGAGGGAGTGTGCGGTGCCACCCAGCCTCCTGCCTGCCCAGCTGTCTCCAGGGAGATGGGGTATCGGCCAGCCCAGGGGAGTATGGGGACCCAGATAAGGTGGCTGTGCCGGGAGAACACGTGGAGGTCTCTTCACCGGGGTGCCCGCCAGCCTGCTGCGGCTTCTACAAGAGGTCCGTGCGGGGAGGAGAGAGAAGCCAGCAGTGACGGCAGCCTTGCTTCGTGATGACGGCCTTCCTCAAGCTGAAACACAGGACCTTATGTCTAACCCCTGTCTGCTCTGTGGCATCACTGCTGTTAGGATATTAGCTGGGCGCGGTTGGGTTATTTTTTCCAAACATGGTGCAAGGAAGCGGCTGCCATCTTTTGCACTCGGGTCTGTGTGTCTCAGAGTGCAGCCCAATAAAAATACGATGTGAGCTCTATGCAGTCTTCTCGTAGCCTGATATAAAACACAGAAACTGAAAGCAATTTTAACGTTTTCTTTAGCATCAAACTATCACTTTAACATGCAGTCAGTATGAAAATCAGTAATAAGATAGTTCATTCCGTGGTGCTACCTGACTCTGGGGCCTAATGACATCGGCAGCACGTCTCACTTGGGACCGGTCACTTGTGGCTGGGTGGCTCAGACAGCACAGCTCCAGGGCCACCTTCCCTGGCTGGCGGGCAGGTAGGCGGGAGGAAGGTGACGCCCCAAGCAGCTGTGGTGGGAAGGCAGCGGAACAGGACGGGGCTGGTCACCGGTGGGAGAATGGAAGGCGTTTTCCTCAGTCAGGGGTGTGGTGAGTGGGTGAAGGACCTCGGCTCCCGATCCTTGCTCGGCTGTGGGTCTCGGCAGAGCATGGCTGGAAGTCGGCGGACTCGGGTTGACCCCACCTCTGCGTGTCCAGCTCTGTGACTTTCCTTCTCTGAAATGAAAGGGATCATACCTTCCCCCAGGGGTTCTCATCAGATTGGATATAATCATATGAAATGCAAGTGTTAGGTAAATGTGGTTGAGTATGTTTATCTCATTAACTAATCGAGTTTTCTAAAGTTTATCAACACGAATCATGTGAATTATGGTTTCTTGTCTTCTCCCACCTGCAGTCAATGAAGTTACCGGAACTCCTGGGGGCACTGGCTCTGGGGTGGTGGGGTTGGGACGTTAGGGAGACCAGCCCAGGCGGGTGAGGTGAGGCAAAGAGAGGAGTGCAGAGGAGGGGCTGTGAGCAGTCCCCAGGGGACCTGGGCATCTGCACAGGGTGCGCCCAGTCCGTGACCTCCGCCTAGGGCTGGACTTTGCACGCTGTGGGCAAGCCCTGAGTTTATGGCTCCCACCTGCTCCATCAAGCAGGAAGCAGCATCTCCTCCTCAATTCTCCCCACCCCGCCCTGGTCAAAGGAGGGACCCAGGAAGCCCAACTCCCTGTGACCTCATGACATGCTGTGCTCCCCACTCCAGGGACCGGAAGGGCCAGGAGGGTGGAGAGCAGGCCAGCCAGGCCACCACTGGGTGTGCTGGGCAGTCCTGAGAGGGTTGGAGGGTGGACTCCTCTGCTGGTGGGTGGTGGCCAGGACTCCGGGAGCATAAGAGGTGGAGCCAGGTGGCTTCCCTGTCCAGAGGTCCTTTCCCCTGTGACTCATGTAACAGAGACTCAATCTCAGGGAAAGAGCCAGTGTGTGGCTGAGGCAGAGGCCCAAGTGGACAAGCCCGGGAAGGTACCGTGATGCCCTTAACCTCCTCCCACCAGGAGGCCGCCTGTCCTGCCTGCCAGGGGCCCCTGGAGGATGCAGTGACCGCCAGCTGTGGACACACCTTCTGCCCGTGGTGCTTCCCCCTGTCTTCCCACATGGGGGCCCAGCCCTCCAGCAGGGCCCTGCTCTGTCCCTTCTGCAAGGAGAAAGAGGAGACTGAGAGCCTCATGGTCCCTGTGCCCCTGGGCGCTCTTGGGGACACTTGCTGTGGGGAGCACGGAGAAAAGATCTACTTCTTCTGTGAAAATGATGCCGAGTTCCTCTGCGTGCTGTGCCGGGAAGGGCCTGCCCACCAGGCCCACACCGTGGGCTTCCTGGACGAGGCCATCGAGCCCTACCGGGTAAGGAGCCCAAGGCGTGGGCTGGGCTGGGCTGGGCTGGGCTGGGCTGGGCTGGGCTGGGCTGGGAGTGTCTTGGGCAGGGCAGTGGAGTGTCATGGTGAAGGGTGTGGCTCCACATCAGCGACCCCAAGGCTGCTGGGACACTAGAGCACTCCCAGGCTGGGAGACCTGGTTCCACTGGATGTGTGGTCGCCCAGGATCAGGACTGGAAATGGGCTTGATTTACCAAGGCCCAGGCCATGGGGCTCAGGGGGAGGGAGGGAGAGAGCGCCCTGCAAGCTCCACTCTGCTCTTTGAGGAAGGGCGGTGAGGCCATAGCCCATCTGGTCTTGGGGACGTTACCCATTCCTGCCTGCCTGCCTGCCTGCCTCCTAGATCTCTCCTCACCAGGTCTGGAAGCCGCTTCCTCAGAAGCATCTCTCAGGTCTCTAACTGCGTTTATGCCCACGATGACCAAACCCAGGCTCTTGCCCATCGTCACCCAGACCCTGCATGGCCTCCAGCACCTTCCCTGTCCTCACTGTAAGCTTTCTAGCCACCCTCCAAACCTGCTGCGAGGCAGATCTCCCTAAGACACGCAGCCAATCGTGCCACCGCCTGGGGTCCCTGGTGCCCAAAGAAGGCCCGTGTCTGCAGCAGGCACCCAGGCCGTTTGCGTCGAGGTCCTGCCTTCCTGTTTCGCCTCATCTCTCAGCGGCCCTTCCCAGGGCAGGACGTGGCCAGCAGGCTGACCAGTGTGCACCTGCTGTTTTCTGAGTTGTTTTAGTGTTTCTCGCTTCTAATACTTTCAACGTGTACTTCCTTTCTTCTAAGTTCTCTCCCCTCCAGAGCCTCGCTTTTTTTTCCTTTTTTACCATTTTAGCAATTTTTAAGTGTGCAGTTTAAGGGGCATTAAGTCCTCTGCCCCCTTCTCTTACTCAACTGGAAATTTATCTTTCAAGGCCCACTGTAAATGTTGTTTGCTTTTTAAAACCCTCCCTTGCCCTAAAGGCAGAACTGCCCCCTCCTCTGGGTGCCCATCTTACCGTGTGCCCACCTCAATTGCTGCGCTCACCAGTATGTATTTTCCCACTCGTGACGACTCCTTCCCTAGATGGTGCCCTCTCTGGGGATAAGGACTGGGCCCCTCTCACCTTCACACTCCTCGGCACTCAATGGTGTGCCAAGGACACGGTAGACACTTAATGTCTGTGAGTTGAATTATGAATTAAGCCACCTCTTTCTGCCCGTCTGTCTCCCTGCAGGGTCGTCTCAGGAGTCGGCTGGAGGCTCTGAGCTTGGAGAGAGAGAAGATTGAGGACATGAAGTGTCAGGAAGACAGGAAGCTCCATGTGCTCCTGGTAAAAGCCACCCCCCTGGCCATTCTCTCCTCTGGGGGTTTTCTCAACAGGCTCTGGGGAAGCTTGCTGTCTGCTGCCTGGCTGGAAAGAACTGAAGACTGCTCTCGCTCACCTCCCTGCCTCTGCCTGGGCATGTGGGGTCTGGAGGGTGGCGTCCCGGAGCAGCAGAGCTGGAAGTGGTTTTGACATCTAACTCGAGACCCATCTCGCCACTCACATTTTTACAAGCAGAAAGTTGAAGTCCAGGAACATGTTGCCCCCAAGGCCACACAGGGAAAGCCCGGGTTCATGATGAAACACTAGAACCCAAGTCTCCTGACCCCCGTCCGCCCCTCTTCCCATTGCAGTCTGTCTGTCTGCCTGAAGGCATTGTTTTCCAACAAGACGTCTGGGGCCAGGTGTATATTAGCGTCTGCATTCTAGTCCTGACCTGAGGCTGACCTAGGACGGTGAGCAATGGTGTAGCTGTCCCAGGCTCCTTCCCACATCTTTCCTTGTGCTACAAAGTTACCCAGGAGGAAATCTGCAGTGTGAGAATTTCTGGTACCTTGACCAAGGAGACAGCATTTGGAGACAGAAAGGTCTCTCCAGAACCCCTCAACTCCCATCAAAGTAGTCCCTGTACACGGTGACTTCAATGACTAAGACCAATGCCACACACTCTTCCGATGAGTTGTATTGATTCTAATTACAGCTTCTTCTTGCTTGAATTGCCCTCTAAAAAATGACTATATGTGCCTCTACCTGCCTCTAGGGAATGTGTGGTTGGGTGAAGATGGTATCAGAGATGTGGAAGGATTTTTGAAAAGTTTGCCATGGCTCTGGGAGCTAATGTGGCACTATTTTTAGAATCTCCAGGTAAAACAAGAGCGTGGCCCTACCTACTTTTACCATAGTGTCTATTGGGAGAACGAGCCTTGGAACTAGTTACTGTCTGTCCCTCTAATCAACAGGAAGCACACGGAGGACTGTGGGGGAAGCCAGCTCGATGAGCTTCTGCCTAACCCTGTCCATCTCTGCCCCTCGCAGACTCATATTGAATGCGAGAAGCAGCAGGTGGAAGCAGCTTTTGAGAGGCTGCAGCAGGAGCTGAGGGGCCAGCAGGATCTCCTGCTGGCCAGGCTGAGTGAGCTGGAGCAGCGGATCAGGAAGGAGAGAGACAAGTACAT